GAACAGAGAAAATATTCAAAGAGATAATTGAAGAGAACTTCCCAAATGTGAAGAAGGAGCTGAAAATTGATATACAAGAAGCAAGAAGAACACCAAACTTCCACGACGAAAGGGAAAATACAGCAAGACACATAATAGTAAAGCTCCCAAGAATCCAGGACAAGGAAAAAATAATGAAGCTGGCAAGAGGGAAGAAACAGATTAACATTCAAAGGAAAACCAATCAGGCTGACATCAGACTTCTCTGAAGAAACACTACGGGCAAGGAGAGAGTGGAGGGACATAGTCAACAGACTCCAAGAAAACAGATGCCAACCAAGAATACTCTATCCCGCAAAGCTCTCCTTCCTCTTTGAAGAAAGAATATGGACCTTCCCAGACAAACAGAAACTCCGGAATTTCATTGCAACTAAACCCCCACTCCAAAAAATACTACAAGGAGTCCTAAAGCCAGAACCTCAGAGGGACGAATAACAATGAAAGAAGGCCAAAAAAAAAAAAAAAGTTATTAAAAGAATAAATAAATAAAATCAAAGGAAAGACAAACACAATGGCAAATACAGATGTTAACATATCAATATTAACTCTAAATGTAAATGGACTAAACTCTTCAATAAAAAGACACAGAGTGGCAGCCTGGATTAAGAAACAAAACCCAACCTTTTGCTGTCTCCAGGAAACACATTTAGCTACAAAAGATAAAAATAGGCTCAAAGTTAAAGGATGGAAAACAATCCTACAAGCAAATGGACCAAAAAAGAAAGCAGGAACAGCTATACTTATATCAGATAAAACAGATTTCAAACTCAAAAAGATAAAAAGAGACCCCAATGGTCACTACATTATGATCAAGGGGACAATACTTCAAGAAGAAATAACACTCATTAACATATACTCACCAAACGAAGGAGCACCAAAATATATCAGAAAACTGTTGTCCTCTCTGAAAACAGACATCAGAGAAAACACATACGTAGTGGGAGACTTCAACACACCACTATCAACAATGGATAGATCAACAAGACAAAAAATAAGTAAAGAAACCAAAGCTCTAAATAAGGACCTAGAGCAATTAGGCTTAACAGACATCTATAGAACACTAAACCCCAAAAAAACGGAGTACACATTTTTCTCAAGCGCACACGGATCATTCTCCAGGATCGATCACATACTGGGGCACAAGACAAACATCAACAGATACACCAAGATTGAAATCATATCAACCATCTTTTCTGACCATGAAGGCATCAAATTAGAAATAAACCATAAAAAGAAGGCAAGGAACTTTCCTACCTCATGGAGATTAAAAACCACACTACTGGAAGACCATTGGACTAATGAGGAGATCAAAGAAGAAATTAAAAAATTTTTTGAATTGAACGACAAGGAGGACACTAATATCCTAAATGTATGGGATGCAGCAAAAGCAGTAATAAGAGGAAAATATATAGCAATAGAAGCTCACATCAAAAAACAAGAAAGAACGCAAAGAAACAACCTCATCTCGAAGCTCAAAGATCTAGAAAAAGAACAACAAAAAAACCCCAAAACCAGTAGAAGAAAAGAAATAATAAAAACCAAAGCAGAAATAAATGAAATTGAAACTAAAAAAACAATCCAAAAGATCAATGAAACCAAGAGCTGGTTTTTTGAAAAAATCAATAAAATAGACAAACCCCTAGCCAGGCTCACAAAGGAAAAAAGGGAGAAAGCACAAATAAACAGGATCATCAATGAAAGAGGAGAAATCACAACGGACACAGCAGAAATCAAAAGAATAATCAGTAACTACTATGAACAGTTATATGGAAACAAGTTTAACAATCTAGAGGAGATGGACAAATTCCTACAACTCTACAATCACCCAAAGCTAGATAAAGAAGAAATAGAACACCTAAACAGACCAATTACAATTAGCGAAATTGAAATGGTAATAAAAACCTCCCCAAAACAAAAGCCCAGGACCTGATGGATTTACAAATGAATTCTACCAAACATTCAGAGACGAATTAGTGCCTATCCTTCACAAACTCTTCCAAAAAATTGAGAAGGAAGGGACAATACCAAACACGTTTTATGAAGCCAACATTACACTAATACCAAAACCGAACAAGGACAACACAAAAAAGGAAAACTACAGGCCAATCTCCCTAATGAACACTGATGCAAAAATCCTCAATAAAATTTTAGCTATCAGAATCCAACAATGTATCCATAAGATAATTCACCACGACCAAGTTGGATTCATTCCAGGGGCACAAGGATGGTTTAACATCCGAAAATCAATCAACGTTATCCAACACATCAACAAAAAGAAATATAAAAACCATATGATAATATCAATAGATGCTGAGAAAGCTTTCGACAAAGTGCAACACCCATTCATGATAAAAGCCCTTGAAATTCTGGGGATACAAGGAACATACCTCAACATCATAAAGGCCATCTATGACAAGCCAACAGCCAGTATCATTCTCAATGGTGAAAAGCTGAAAGCAATTCCATTAAGATCTGGAACAAGACAAGGATGTCCACTCTCACCATTGCTTTTCAATATAATACTGGAAGTCCTAGCCAGGGCAATAAGACAAGAGAAAGACATCCAAGGAATCCAAATAGGAAAAGAAGAAGTCAAACTATCACTATTTGCAGACGATATGATATTATACATAGAGAACCCCAAAAACTCCACAGAAAAGCTAATTCAACTCATCAATCAGTTCAGTAAAGTGGCAGGATACAAAATCAACACGCAAAAGTCAGTAGCCTTCCTATACACAAACAATAAATCTGAAGAAGAAGAAATCAAAAAGACCATCCCTTTTGTTATTGAAACAAAAAAAATCAAATATTTGGGAATAAATCTAACAAAAGAGGTAAAGGACCTATACAAAGAAAACTATAAAACACTGTTAAAAGAAATAGAAGAAGACACAAAGAAATGGAGAGACATCCCCTGCTCATGGATTGGAAGAATAAACATTATTAAAATGGCCATCCTACCAAAAGCAATATACAGATTCAATGCTATTCCAATCAAAATTTCAATGTCATTCTTCAAAGAAATAGAACAATTATTGATGAAGTTCATATGGAATCACCAAAAACCCCGAATAGCCAAAGCTCTCCTGAAAAAAAAAGAAGGGAATGGAGGCATCAGACTCCCAGACTTCAAACTATACTACAAAGCCATAATCATCAAAACTGCATGGTATTGGAACAAGAACAGACATACAGACCAATGGAATCGAATAGAAAATCCAGAAATAAACCCACAGATTTATGGTCAACTAATCTTTGACAAAGGAGCAAAGAATATGCATTGGAGCAAAGAAAGTTTGTTCAATAAATGGTGCTGGGAAAACTGGGTCGCTACATGCAAAAGAATGAAGCTTGACCACCACCTCACACCATACACAAAAATCAACTCAAAATGGATTAAAGAACTAGACATAAGACCTGAAACCATAAAATATATAGAAGGAAATATAGGCGAAACACTACGTGATTTGCACATCAAAGACATCTTTACAGACACATCACCCAAAGCAGTGATAGTGAAGGCAAAGATAAACAGCTGGGACTACATCAAATTAAAGAGCTTTTGCACAGCAAAAGAGACAATAACAAAAACAAAGAGAAACCCCACCAACTGGGAGAACATTTTTGCACCCAACACTAATGATAAAGGACTGATCACAAAAATCTGCAAAGAGCTGATGAGACTCAGCAACAACAAAGAAAATAATCCAGTCAAAAAATGGGCAGAAGAGCTTAAAAGAAACTTCTCTGAAGAGGAAATGCAAATGGCCAACAGGCATATGAAAAAATGTTCAACATCACTTGTCATCAGGGAAATGCAAATCAAAACTACCATGAGATACCATCTTACACCAGTGAGAATGGCACATATTAAAAAAACTAGCAACAACAAATGTTGGCGAGGGTGTGGAGAAAAAGGAACGCTTCTGCACTGTTGGTGGGAGTGCAAACTGGTCCAACCACTGTGGAAAGCTGTATGGAGATTTCTGGACCTACTAAACATAGAGCTTCCATATGATCCAGCAATTCCACTCCTAGGTATTTACCCAAAGGACACAGAAACATCAATTCCAAAGAACACCTGCACCCCTATGTTTATAGCAGCACTGTTTACAATAGCTAAGCTTTGGAAACAACCCAAATGCCCAAAAATAGATGACTGGATCAAGAAGATGTGGTACATATATACCATGGAATATTACTCAGCATTCAAAAAAGATAAACACATGCAATTTGCAGCAACATGGATGGCGCTGGAAGGGATCATGCTCAGCGAAATAAGCCAAAAAGAAAAAGAAAAATACCGGATGGTCTCACTCATAGCAGGAATCTAGAAAACTTAAATAAGGGACCAGGAAAATGAATAACTATAAGAAAGTGAAAATCAAAATCAACAAAAAACTATGAACCAGAGACACTTTTAGGGGGGCGGGGGTGGGAGGGGAGGGATTGGGGTCAGAATGGGGGGGCTGCAATTGTATGGGGAATATAACAATAAAATTTATTAAAAAAAAAATAATTAAAATTAAAAAAAAAAAATAAAAAAATAAATAAATAACAGAGATCTCAGTCTTAGTCTGAGAGCATTATTTTGATTCCTGAAATGGCATCTTGCCCAGGTGTAGACTATGCATCTTCACTACTGTACTGCTGCCACCAGGTGGACATGGTGACAATATACTTCACTTTATATTTTTTCTTGTGTTAGGACTTTCTGATTTGGTTTGATTTTTGCTGCCAAGCGGCAGCTACTAACTAGAGAAGTCTGTGCTGATAATTAAAGATATGGAATATTGTAAAATATCTGAATATTTTACATTGGCTGAGGCTGTGAAGTCACACCACCTAGGTTTGAATCTGAGGATTACAATTCACAACCTATTTGGATTAGTTTACCAAATAGGTTACTGAACCCTTCAAGTCTCAATTTCCTGAGAGTAATGGTATCTGTATTTTTTTTAAATCTGGAACATTTCACGAATTTTCACATCATCCTTGTGCAGGGGCCATGCTAATCTCTTTGTTGCTCCGTTTTTAGTGTAAGTGCTGCCTTAACGAGCACAAGTGTCTTTTATGAGTGTTGAAGAGATTGAACTAGACAATATAATAAAGACAGAACAGATTCAATGACTTTTAGCTTTTATTCTAAATATTGCTAATTATTAAAGAATATCTGGAATACATAATGCATTATATATTACCAAATGTGTATTACTAGTGTATATTACTAAATGTATCAATGTCTAATGTGACCTAAGGAAGTATAATTTTATTAATAGTATTTTTTAATAACTAGTTCCAATGCCTTTAGGAATAGCACTTTCCTACATATTGAATAAATGTCCATCTATAGTTATTAGAAGCATGCTATTTATAGTATACATTTAATTGGCTATTAGAATACCATGCAAAAACTGGAAGGCACCTTGGAGAGCATAGTTCATGCTCCTCATTTTACAGATGCAAAAACTTAAGTTCAAAGACACAAAGCTACTTAGTTGCAGAGCAGGACTATGTCCTGGCTCCCCATCTACACAGTACTGTGAACCTCGTACTGCCGCTCAGTTGCCATACAGTGGACCAAAACATGGGCTCTGCAATGTCTTATAATTGTATCCTGATTTGGCAAAGTGGAGTGAAACAAAATTTTTTTCTTTAGGTGTTTATTTTATCTAATATTGGTGTGATATGAAGGATAACCTGACTGGGGAAAAAAAAAAAAAAACTTCTCTGGCATATATATTTTTTTTAATAGAGTCATGTTTTATTTATTTGTTTGTTTGTTTGTTTGTTTTGTTTATACATGCACTGGGTACAGTCAGAAGCGCGGGAGGGTGAGAGAATTCAGAGCCAGAGCGGGGAGCAGAGCAGGCAGAAGGACTGAAGTACACTGCTGAGGGGAGCAGCCGGCGGCAGGAGAGGTCTGTGCGCCATGTGGGACCCTCCTCTGGTGGCTGGGGAGCAGCTGGGGATTGAACCAGCGCCGCAGAGGCCTCGGGCAGCTTCGCAACCCAGCGCTCAATCGCTGCGCCACCGGGGAGGCCCTCTCTGGCATATTTATGCATGGATAGCGAAATACTCCTGTTAGTAAATTGAGAAATAAATGCAAATAACATGTAGTGTTATTTTCCAGTCAGTTCTCTGTGTCTCTGGGACACCCTCTGTGTGCCTCTGTCACTGCATTTATCACACTTGGGGGACATTTTTGGTTAATTTTTTTCTGTACCTAACTGGACTCTTAGTTCTGTGAGAAGGGCCACATCTTTTATCACTATATATCTAGTGATTGGTACAATCTGGAATTCTTTTTTGATGAAAGAATCCCCTTTTCAAAACAATGTAATTTGTAGAGAAGGCATTAGGGCAGTGGGGTGGGACCACACTATAGTCCAAGACCATTATTCATTCAGGGTTGAGCCTTTGAAGACTGGGGGGGGGAAGGGGAGGCGGGGGGTGGGGGGTGGGGGGAGGCTGTTTCTCAGGAGTGAGAAGTGGTTTGACATTGATTAGCATTTCAAAGATCTACGGTAGGTGCTACTCATCTTGGCCTTAGAAATATATTTTTTAAAAGATTTATTTATTTATGCATACGAGAGCTGGGGTAAGGCCAGAGATGTGGGGGGTGAGAGGATTCACCAGAGACAGAGTGGGGAACAGAACAGGCAGACCAACTGAAATACACTGCTGAGGGGAGCAGCAGGCGAGACAGAAGAGGTCTGCTGTGCCATGTGGGTTGCTCCCTGGCCAGCGGGGGTATCACACTCCTGCTGCAGAGGCTGCGGATTGCTTCATAGTGCAGTGCTTAACCCCTTGCACCACCAGGGAGGCCCTTGGCCTTAGGAATTTAAGGGTGGTCTTTCCTCGGTCTAATTTTCCTGTCATTATGGTGTGTCTTTCCCTTTTTATGGCACTCTGTTCTGTCTCCCTTCCCTTTCTCTGCTGGGCTCTGCTCTGCAGTTCTCCAACTATGACTAGCCTGGGGTGGGGCGGGGGGGGGGAGCGGGGGTGGGGGCACGGAGGGCAAGTAATTGGAAGGGGAGTTGAGATAATTTTAGCCCAAAGCATCCAGCATTTGCCATGGTGAATTGCTACACTAATTTACGGGGCTGCAGGAATGACTGAAATTGTTTTTTTATTCTTGAGGGATGAATGTAAGGAATAAGGGTATGAAAAAAACTCATTTCTGATGTAGTATAGCCCCTCTGAATGAACTGTTAAACACTAGGAGCAATGAGGTGCAGAAGAGAGGAGGGCCCACACAGCAGCATTTTAGGAGTTGGGGTTTTTTTAAGAAGATTCACAGGCCTGTCATCTCAAGGGTGAATAGGATCTCCTGTGATGGACCACAGACTTCAAGCTACTTCAAGCTCTGATGTGTAAGACACCTAAGTTCCTCTCATTTTGTAAGAGGGGTTTGTGTCAGTGCCCTCTGCTTCTAGTGCCCTACCTCCTCCCTGGCCCACCATTACATTAGGAAGTGGGATACAACAATGAGGTGTTTGTTTTCAATCATGTGGGGAGAGTACCAACAACAATTTAGCTAATTTTAAGTAATTTTTTTGAGTCTGAAACGTATTTGATCCTAATATTTCTTGAAGTAATAATACCCCTTGACAGTTTCTGTAGTTATCCTCAGCAGTGCTGCATTTTCTTGTTAATTATATGCTTTCATTCACATTCTTAGGCTTATAAGTTGGCATGTTAGAACTTAAAACATGAATTTTCTCTGATTGATTCTTTTCGTTTTCCCAGTTGCCAAAACAAAGGGGATTTGGTGATGGAGGCTTTATTGGAAGGAATGCAAAACCGGGGACATGATGGGTAAGTTTGCTTTTGACCATAAGCTTCTCACTTAAATTTGTAAAATCGTTTCCCAGCTAGCTTACTTGCTTCCCACGCTTTTTATTTTGGCCACCTGAGAATATGGTATAAACTTACTTAGATTTTTCCTGAAGCCTTCCCTAAAATATTACAAAAGAGCTAGTTGTTGATTATGGAAGTCTTTCTCATAGTTCAGCTTATGACTTTATTCCTGTGTTTGATGAAATGACTTAGGCTTTTGATTGGCTAATTAGAGGAAGACAATATTATTGATATGAACATTAAAAAGAAAAGTTCAGAAATCCTATTCTTTACTTCTTATAGTTTGTTTATTCACAGTGTTCTACCTTCGTTAAGTTTATCTGCTGTATGTTTATGTGTGTTAGATGAAAAGCCACTTGGACAGATGATCTTAAGTTTCTGTTCTTATTTATAGTGGATTTTTGACATCCTGCGAAGCAGAACTACAGGAGCTTATGAAACAGATTGATATAATGGTGGCTCATAAAAAATCTGAATGGGAAGGGCAGACACATGCTCTAGAAACTTGCTTGGATATTCGTGAACGGGAACTTAAGTCTCTTAGGGGTCAGTTGGATGAGAAACACAAAGAGGTAAAGCAGTTGATTCACTTCTCTTTTAGATACTTTGACCTTGACTTTTATATTAAATGTTTCTTAAATATTTGTTGAAGAAAACATTTGTTTGTCAAGTTAGTTTTTATATTGTCTTTTTGTCTGATGGTTTCTTGTAGAAGGAAATTTCATTGTGAAAATGCATAAAAATATGAATATTTAAGGATCTTGTTACCTTGATCACATATAACACTTGCATAACCCCTTTAAGAAAATGCAGAGGGTGTCACAGGATCTTTATGTAACCCCCATCCTATTATGTGTCTATATTAACATTCAATTTAGTGAAAGTTATTTTTTATCTTATTGTAGCTTGTAACTAATGCAAAAAGCAATGTTAAGGTCAAAATTCAAGAATTTGCTTTTTTAAGTTAAATTTAAATCAAAATTTAGAAGAACACTTCAAAGGCTTGTATGTACCCTTGTTGAAAATTAAAAGAAAAGGAAAAAAAGAGGAAAATAAAAATTACTTGCAATCTCACCATATAGATTTTGGAGTTTTGGGGGGAAGGTTTAATAATTGCTAATTAGTAAGAAGCAACACACTGATATTAGAAGGGAAGCAGAAAACATTTACAAACGCAAGCATTGCCCTTAAGTTTCTGGCATGAATGTCCATCTCAGAATGACTGGAAGGATTGTAGGGAAATAATGGTTCCAAGCCCTACCCTAAGGGACTTTGTAGTCCCTAGACTTGCTAGTAGGATTGTGCTCATAAGTGCTGTCAGTCAGGATATCCAGATACACTTTCGTGGGTCGTACACTTTGAGATTGTGAGTCTGGTTATGGCACTTCTCAGGAAAATTTAGAAATGTTTCATGAAACAAGGGAAGAGTTTTGGTTGATAAAAATGTTTTTATGTTTTTCAAGAGATTTTCGATTGTAGGCTATTTATACTTTGTGTCAAAGTAAAACATAGTAATATTGGCCATGGATATCATCTACTAAACTGGAATTTATTTTAAAATTCGTGTAGACCTCTTAGTATTTTAAAATTTGTGTAGACCTCTTAGTATTTTAAAATTGCACCGCAAACAATGATAATTGCATGAGATGATAATCATATTTGATTTTTTAAAATAATCACAATTTAGGTAGGGTCAGTGCTCCTTCTCCTACTGTAGCTTCCATCTCTTTATTTCTTCTAGGGTAAAACAAAAGTAGTTTTGCTTATTAAGTTAACATGATAATGGCTTCCTACTTAAGAAAAGCACTGTGAATATACATTATGCATATACAGTATACACTGTGAATATCTAAATCATTACTTGTGTTAGAAATACATTGAAGAAATTCCTGTGTGTTTTTGTGTGTGTGATCATGACCATATTTAGTCACTCTTGAGTCTGTTTGAACTTATTCCTGTACGTTAGTTTTGATGTCAGGGCCATTATTACCATTATTTAATACCCTAAAGAGAAATTAAAGGCATGGAATGGATAGGTTTGATGGTAAGGACTTGAAGATTACACATTTGGCCTGGGGACATAAAAGAAAATTTGAAATTGCATCTGTCTGGCCTATTTGCTGCTTCATTGATTGGCTGCTGAAAGTTGATTAAATTCCTCAAAGTAAAATGCTTTTACCAAACCTAGTAATGGGAAAC